TACATACATACATACATACATTACATACATACATACATACATACATACATACATACATACATACATACATACATACATTTCATACATACATACATACATACATACATACATACATACATACATACATACATACATACATACATACATACATACATACATACATACATACATACATTAAATACATAACATACATACATACATACATACATACATACATACATACATACATACATACATACATACATACATACATACATACATACATACATACATAAATAAATACATACATACATACATACATACATACATACATACATACATACATACATACATACATACATACATACATTACATACTTACATACATACATACATACATACATACATACATACATACATACATACATACATACATACATACATACATACATACATTACATACAAACATACATACATACATACATACATACATACATACATACATACATACATACATACATACATACATACCATTACATACATACATACATACATACATACATACATACATACATACATACATACATACATTACATACATACATACATACATACATACATACATACATACATACATACATACATTACAGACATACATTACAGACATACATACATACATACATACATACATACATACATACATACATACATACATACATACATACATTACATACATTACATACATTACATACATACATACATACATACATACATACATACATACATACATACATTACATACATACATACATACATTAACATTACATACATACATACATACATACATACATACATACATACATACATTACATACATACATACATACATACATACATACATACATACATACATACATTACATACATACATTTCATTACATTACATTACATTACATTACATTACATTACATTACATTACATTACATTACATTACATTACATTACATTACATTACATTACATTACATTACATTTACATTACATTACATTACATTACATTACATTACATTACATTACATTACATTACATTACATTACATTACATTACATTACATTACATTACATTACATACATACATACATACATACATACATAACATACATTACATTACATTACATTACATTACATTACATTACATTACATTACATTACATTACATTACATTACATTACATACATTACATACATACATACATACATACATACATACATACATACATACATACATACATACATACATACATACATACATACATACATACATACATACATACATACATACATACATACATACATACATACATACATACATACATACATACATACATACATACATACATACATACATACATACATACATACATACATACATACATACATACATACATACATACATACATACATACATACATACATACATACATACATACATACATACATACATACATACATACATTACATGCATACATACATTACATTACATACATACATACATACATACATACATTACATTACATACATACATACATACATACATACATACATACATACATACATACATACATACATTACATTACATTACATACATACATACATACATACATACATACATACATACATACATACATACATACATACATACATACATACATACATTACATTACATACATACACATACATACATACATACATACATACATACATACATACATACATACATACATACATACATACATACATACATACGATGCATACATACGAGAGAGGGAGAGAGAGGCTTGGGGGGATGGGGAGGATGGGAGCAGAGGGAGGGAGAGAGGACGACAGAACACACAAGGGAGACAAGGAAGAGCGGAAGAAGGAGAAAAGGGAGAGGACAATGTCGGCGGACTGAGCCGGAGGCTCTAAAGTATACATATATACATATATATATATATATTAATATTTATTATATAACGCACACGAAGTTTGAACAGAATCTCAGCAAACATGGTGCATGTAGACCGCGCAAATATAACTGAACACAATACGAAACAAACTAATGTGAGTCAGGGGCTGGGCAGTGCTATGAATGAAGGAAGACAACATTCTAGTCATTTACAAGTTTACATTGCGAAAGGTGAACATTGGCTTCGACACACCTCCAGCCAGGCCCGGAACACCTCCCGCGCCCGCCGCACCCGGAACCGCTGCAGCGACCGGCTCTTCACCGCCTGCGAGAGGCGAATCGGTGCGGATTCGCCAAATGACAACAGGACAGCCTAGGATAGCCTGGGATAGCCTGGGATAGCTGGAAAACCGAGAGCTCCAAAGCTCAAGAGCAAGGCGCCTTCTTCCACGCAGCAAAGCAGAACTTCAGGCCCTTGATGGATTCCTCCTGCATCACCGCCATCATCGTCAGCTTTCCCGAAGACTTCCCCATGACTTGGTTGAACATCAAGGCCGTGCGCAGGCCGTCAATCTTCAAGTCTTCGTCATGTGCATGTGCGAGGCTCCAGGCAAGAAATGCCAGCCCGGCGAGAAAAGGATGTGGCAAGGAACAGATCTCCACAAGCTGCAGCGCTCCCACGAAGGATGGCGCCGTCGTCCCATCCCAAAGGATCTTGCACACCCCGCGCTCGCTACAGGAGAAGAAGGTGCCGCACATTTGACCCATACCAGTTGTGTTCTTGTGCCGCACACGCGCGCCCCTTGCTGGCTTCTGCAGGGGTCGGTCTACATACCGCCTCAAACACGAGAAGAGACTCCACAGGGACAGGGCCCGGGACCGCGTTCCCAGCCATCTGCGGGAGTTCTCGTCACGTCGCCGGCGCCAGTAGCTGCGCATGTCCTTGCAGACCGCGCTCCATGCTGCAAAAAATCGGTCGAGCTCCAGGTCAAAAACAAATTTCGCCTTTGCCTCCGGCGTTGCTCGCGCGCCCGTTGCGCAGCCTTTGTCCAATGCCTCCAGTTTGCCCTGAGCGAGTCGCAAGGCCTTCAGCTCTGATTTCAGGGCGCTCTCTTTTGCGCCCGCACGCTTCAGCGGTGGCATCGCCATGGTCAGCCATGCGTCGCCGTCCGGCACAGTGTTCGGCAAACTCAGCCCGGCCCTACATGTGACTCAGCCACTCAGCCCGGTCCACATGAATGGCACATGACACCGATGCCTTGAGCCAATGAAGATATGGAGCATTTGCCACATGTTAGCGCCACATTGAAGCCGTTCTCATGCGACTTGCGACGGACCTTTTTGAGCCAAGCACGCCCATCCAGATTTGGGCCTCTGGTTCGAAGGGATTCTCCGCGGTGAAACAAAAACATTGGCTTTCTTGCGCCCTGTGGCTCCTGCTTTCAGAAAGGCCTTGGAGCAAGAGCTTGCCTCGGCCCCTAGCACGAACCGGGTTCACCGGCGATCGCCGAAGTCGCTCTATGGCGCTCTATGGCCCAATGACGTCGAAAGCCTCGGGGGGGACGCAGCCAGAGGTGAGATTCCAGAGGTGGGAGGCGCAGTGGAAGGACCAGTAGAGCTTGGCCGCGGTCCAGGCCACGCCCAAAATCGCCACCCCCTGGAAGCAAAGCACCATGATCCCAACCTCCAGGCGCACGCTGCCCTTGCCCAAGGCTCGGATGAGGCCCACGGCCATGGGCACCGTCTTGAACACGCAGCTCAAGAGGCCCAGCCCCATGGACAGCAGGAGCTTCACCTCGACCCCACCATCCTGAACCCCTGCCCCTGCCCCCCCTGCCCCCCTCAACCCCTCTGAACCCCTCTGAACCCCTCTGAACCCCTCTGAACCCCTCTGAACCCCTCTGAACCCCTCTGAACCCCTCTGAACCCCTCAACCGGAAGGCAACAGTCGCCATGAGCATAAGCCTTTCGGTTTTTCGGCCCAGTCCTTGCCCGCGTGGTGCAGCCGCTGGAAGATCAGCGCAAAGAAGGATGCCTGCAGCCAGAGCTGCACCACGTTCTCCAAGAATACCTTGGAGATTGAGGTGAGCAGCGCTCGCTCGCTCAGGCAAGCTTCCTCCTGCAGAGATTGGAGCCTTGCTTGGGAACGGGCACCGGGACTTGTCAAAAGAAATGCGCCTGGCCGCACAACCTGTCCTCTGCCACATGCTTCCAGGCGAGGTCCTGCTCCTCGTACCAGATAGCCACGGCTCCAAAGCCGGGCACGTCAGCAGCCAAGTCGTGATGCTCGCCATGGTCTGCGCTTCCCAGCAGCTGCTGGGTCAAAGCCGCGAAGCTCAGCACCGCGGTCAGCAAGCCTCGAGCAAGGCGTCTTAGGCAAAACTTTTCTCAGCGCCCGAACCACCGCCAAAAACCACAAAGGAAAAAGCAAAGCACGGCAAGCCACGCATGCACTACGCCAGCGCGCACGTGCGACCTGACAGCCTGGTGGGCTCATGCGAGCCTCGTGCGAGCATCAACGAAGCGAGCTTACACCTGCTTTGCTGAGCGAAGGAGAAATTCCTCCAGGGCGGCTTGGGCCCAAGGGGCGCGCTCTGCGCAGCGGACGGGTTGCCTCACGAATGTCACTGGCCATTGTGTTTGTTGATGAGGGCGAAGGCTAGCCAACTGTGCCTGCTCAGCCAGTTTGACATCGGCATTGGAGCGAGGCTGCGCCCTTTTCGGCCGCTCATGCCGCCGAGGAACCCTCCAGTCTCTCGCGCTCTCAGTGTGCCAAACGAACTTGCAGCACCGTGCCAAGGTGCCCTTTCTTGTCCTGAGTGGCTTGTTTGCTTTGAATCGAGGGCTATCACTGGCCTTGAAGCGATTCAGCCGACTTCAGACACGTAAAGGCTGGACGCTCTCTGCCCAATGGCACGCGAAATTTGCAACGTGCATCGATCACAGGCTGCGGCCCTGCAATTGAATTGCCCTCCCCGAAAATTTAAAAGCCCAGCCGCCCAGCCGCCTCCTTCCGTTCGGCTTGAAAAGGATCTTACCGTTGCTTGTTGCCCGGAACTGGTTCAAGGTTACAGGGAGTCGCGAGATTCCTCAAGTCCGAGATCTGGCCTGCAGGAGCCGCGCTTGACGAACTCAGGAGCTGCGGCGGACACAAAGCGGTTTTTCAAGGGGAAGGCAGGAAGGTTTCAAGGGCCGTTAAAGGTCGGTCGGGCTTGAGTTCACGTGGGAAGAGGAAGCTGGTTAGTTGATTGTGACCCAAACAGCCCAAGACTCCGGAATTCACATCAGCACTTGGACGCCGCATGGGAAGGGGTTGACATTTGGGACTTGGAGTTCCTAAGAACACCCATGTCTTAGAAGTCGCATGAGCCGTCGCGTGTGAGCCGCGTCCAAGGCACCCCAGAAGTGCAGCGTGCGGATCACAGGCGCCAGCGGCCAGGCCCAGGACAGCTCGAAGCTCTCGGCGAAGCGTTCCGTGACGCCGGCCCCGCAGAGGTACGCCTGGACCGGCAGCGCCCCGTCCGTGAACCAATCCGCGTGCTCCAAGGCGCCCAGCCAAAATCCCGGGCTCAGAAAGATCTGGCTCCAGTCCTAACAAGCACAGCAAAGCACAGATGCTCAAAAATGCATAGCACTTGCTTTAAAATACGTCCAACACCATACAGCCAAATGGAATTGTTTTATCTTGTCAATCTCCAACGCTGTCCTCATTCAAAGCTCGGAGGATCTTGGCCTCTATCCACTTGGCTCGGAGCAGCAAAGGAACGTACAGAGCATAGGCCCAAATAGGTGATCCTTTTTCACAGCTGCTATCCCCAATAGCCAGTATCGAAATCAAGGGGTAGAGCAGCATCAGCCTCATTTCCTGACGCAAGACGAAGCCGATCTTGTCGTGATCTGGCCTGAACTCATGCTTTGCGAACTCCTGCTGAGAGACGGGCGTGTACAAGCACCCCCGTCCACACTGAAGGTCACCCCGCTCGCAGCCAGCTTTTGTACAGACGTAGCAAAGGCACAACTGCCCGCAGCCGCAAATCAGAGCCACCAAACACGCTACCACCCACGTCTGCCACGGCCACGATTCGCCCACATGATGGTGGAGATCCACCTCTCTGAGAAGCCTGCCTGGGCGTCTGTCAGACGCTGACAGGATCCCAACAGCAACAAGTGAAGAGGCAAAGCGCAAACATCGCAAGAGAGCTCGAGCGTCCATGAGCTTGACTCGTTCTGCGGCTGCATAACAACAAAACAATGGCCAATCAGCATTCCTTTTCCAATCTCTCACTCTCTCACCCACTTGCCAGGCACCTTTTATAACCGAGCTCTGTCGCTCGGGCCTCTGTAGACCTGGTCACACACCAGGGCTGTCTGCAGCATCTCCTTGACCTCGTGCACACGTACCTGCTGCAAGCCAAGCCGCAAAAACATGGGACGAACGCGCACCACATCCGCTCCGCCCGCAACGGCGATGGCGGTCGTGGCCGCGTTGCCGAAGGTCCGTCTCTTGGCCTCAGGCCTCGACGAAGCGAAGGGAAGAGGCGAGGCGACTCATTCGCTCGCTTTCGACTGCCTGGAAGGCACTGCGCGGCTCCGGGGCTCCGGGGCTCCGGGGCCGGGACTCCTCCAGGATTGTCCCAACAAAGCGCTTCCGCGATGCCCCGACCAGCAGCGGGGATGGCCTCGTATGACACGCGCCTGCGACGGAACGCCCAGCCTTAGGGCCGGACTGCAACTGCGCCTTCAGCTCCTGGCTCGCACGCCCCTTTTTGCATATCGCACGGAGTCTCAATTTCTCAATGCTGAAGGCGGCACGCTAAGCTGGCGGAGCAGGCAGAGGTTGTGCTGCATGTCCTTGGCAAAGCCGATCCCCGGATCCAGCCTGGCAAGAAGTCACAGCCCGAGAAGCGTGAAAACGCCAGGGGCACAGTATGTTCCATCGGGGCACACCAGCTGCTTCTGCAGCAGCGCGCCGGGACACCAGGTAGTGCCCGACCTGTCCAGCCCCCCAGTGGCAAAGACTCAGAAGCGCAAGCGCCTCCGTCACGACTGCTCCGTAGCTGGCGAGAGAGTTCATGGTCTGAGGCGTTCCCTTCCTTGGAAAAGAAATCCCCAGAAGCGAACATCCGCATTGCGCTGTATCTTGAGAGACAGAATAAGCATCTTTGGAATGCAAATGTCTTGCAACAGCCCTTGGGTCATGAAACAACTGCAGCTATCTGTCAGGACTTAAACGTTGAGGAACGGAGCTGACGAATCGGTGAGCTCGCTAAACAAGCATAGCGAGCTTCGAAAGGACTGCATTGTGAGAGTTGAGAACTTTACAGGTGTTCCTTACAGGATTTCCCCGGATCTCGAATGGCGCACTTTGGGCCGGGTTGAGGAGCTGGCATGTGCATCAGGATGATGGGTGCCATGAATTCCGCGGCCACGGAGAGCATCGAACTGGCAAATTCCCCACCTGACCTCATGGGATGTCGAGTTCACGATGGGGTGGGGGAGTTCGGGATCTGAGTCACAGGCACGTCATTGATCCAGTCCTCAAATATGATGCACAAACTTTAAAAAAAGAATGGAGAAAAAAAATGCCAACATGCTGGCACGTGGTGCGTGGACGTCTGACGCGCACCGAGTGCGAGGCGGCGCCAGCCTCAATGGCGGCCTTGGCCACGTCCGCCTCCCGAGAACTTGCATCGGGTGAGCCGAGAGAGGACCACACAATATCGCACACCTTGCGGGTGTCAATGCTGATGGTCACATCCAAGCCTGCCTGCACGAGAAGAAAGGAACAGAAATTCGAAAGAAAGACAAACCGCAAGCCGCAGGCCTCGCGAATCCCTTGGATCACCGGCACCACTCGGCGCACCTCTCAGTCTCTCTGTCTCTCGGTTCGGATCGCCGGACCAGGCCTCCTCCTCCACGGGCACCTCTGCAGCACCCGGGCGGGTGGACTCCCCGCCCACGTCCAGCACGTGGGCACCTGCCTGAGACGGAGCCCAGAGCCCATGGAGCCCATGGAGAGAAACGGGGAACGTCGCATCGGTTCGCGTCCGAACTCCGAACTCCGAACTCCGAACTCCGAACTCCGAACCGTCGGCCCAAACCGCCCCTCGCGTTTGAGGCGCCCACGGCCACCATCTCGGCCGCCGCACGCACCTCCGGAAGCACGGGTGGCGAGAAGTGTTTGGCTGCCCACGTCTAAGGCAAAGGCACACGCCAAGCGACTAAGCGACTGGCGGCATTCTCTGTGTTGAAGTTATCTCCACCATCGCTAAAAGAGTCCTGGCAGATTCACGGCAATCATGGCACGTACCATGTTTGAAAACATGTTGGTGAGTGGCACGTGCACTCTCCGTCCGGGGTGATGTTCAGGATTCCCATGATGAGGGTCTTCTCGTCGCGCCTCACGAGTCACTCGAGTTCGAGTCAGCTCGACGCCATGCCGCCCGCCTCCACAGCTGGCCCTCCCGTCCGAGGAGGCCCCCCGCGCTGGGCAGCATCTGCACCGGCCAGGCCTCCAAGCTGGCGCCCTCCGGGCCGGAGACCCCGGACCGGAGCCCTGGCAAGCCGAAAACACGCAAGGAACGAAAGGAACGAAAGGAACGAAAGGAACGAATGAAGGAACCGAAGAAACGAAAGGAACGAAAGGAACGAAAGGAACGAAAGGAACGAAAGGACGGACACGCCGGAGACACGGTCCAGCAAGTCCTCGGACACGTCCGACTCCCGGTCCAAAGATGCACACGTGACCCATGCAACTCATGCGACTCGTGCGACTCACGCAGGCACTCCGTGAGGGTCGGAGAGCCAGGGAGAGTAGGGTGTCGCCAAGTCTGGCAAATCCTCGCAGTGCGAGCGACGTGCTAAGTTGCCAAGCCGCCCCTCGCTTAAACCAAAAAGCGAGCGCCGCTTGGCCCCGTGCTCTGCCATGGGCACGAGCACGAAGTCCCGCTCGTGCATCAGCGCGTGGGGCACCTCAAGGCAACAAGGCACCTAGCAGGCACCTAAGCAGACTAAGCAGACTAAGCAAATGGAACGCGCATCTCAACGATCACTGCATGCGTCTTAATTGCAAACTGCTCACTGCCCCTCCTGGAGCGGGTATTGGCCCTGTGCAATGTCCAGACTGCGCCTCGGGACAACGGACAAGCAACGCCTGAAGCACATGGCACCGAGCCTTAGCCTTAGAATTTGGGGACGTCGCTGGCCGACTGCCACCACATCCAGGTCGATGACTCGAGGTCCTCGTCGCAACCCTGGCCTGGCCAACATGTCGGATTCGATTCTTCGGGAGCCTTCTGAGCCGAACTCACCTTCGGCCCAATTCGTCCTCAATGCGCTTGAGGTCAGCCAAGAAGCCCTGTAAATCAGCCAGCCTGGATCGAATGTATCGGGCGCTGTATCAAAGTGCAAACAAGCCTTTGCTCGCTCAGCTCCAAGGCAACGACCTCAAAACATTCCAAATGACAGCGCGAGAAACTGCAAAGAACGTGATGAACGAAAATCAACCAAATCAAGGGGCTGCATTCAGGAACGCCGGCTGGTCACTGACATACTGCGCCTTTGTGGAGTACAAGCTTGACCTCAAGTGTCCAATTTGACCGAACCTCTGTCGAGTCAGTCGAGCCGCACACGTGCTCACCAAACGCAGCCCTTCCAGCTTGCGCAAAGCTAGAACAGCGCGGCTGAGGTGCCGTAGCCTTTGCAAAGGAGAGAAGGACGCCACACGGCATAGCGGAGCTCTGTCGGAGCTTGACAGCTTGGCCACAAGCCTGTCCCCGACGTTGCTGCCAAGGGCCACGAAGCCTGCCGAATCATTCGCTCGCACGGTTCCGTCCATTCGTCAATTCGTCGATTCACAGCCAAGGGACATGGCTCGGAGTCAGCCATGGGCTCGGGGCTTGACAGCCCTTCGTCCAAATCTCCAGACTTGGCTGATTTAGGCTGACTGTTATGCTGGACTCATAGATGTAAACATATGTGCGATTGACAATTTGCTGTGCTTGGCGTCAAGAACACGTGCAACGACCCCAGTCATCTACTTGAGCGGCAAAACGCAGAAACAAAACGGAGACAGCTTCAGGCATCAAGGTGGGGCACTGGTAGAGACTCAAACTGACAAACCGCCAGAGGCTCGTCAACCACTTGCATCATCTGAACCCCTTCTTTTCAAATCACTTGTAGGCAACGCCAAAGTAGCTGGAAAGCAGCCGGTCACGGATAAACGGATCGCAACCTTAGCTTTGTAAATTTTGTAACTCTCCAATTGCGTTATCACAAAGGTGCCCACCAAATGCGTGCGGCATCAAGCACAGCACCAGCACCTCCGAAATCCGACCACGAGATGCAATTGGAAGACCTTCCCCTGTCACATCAAGTCCGACCTTCCCCTCATCCTTTACTGTTTTACTGTACTTAGACTTGGTATTACCCTCTCAGACGTGGGCAGCTTGTTGAAGCGTTGCCAAGCCAGCAAGGTCTCCCCGTGAGGTGAACCTCAGGCACAATGCTTGCCATCAGTCGTGTTCAGCCATTTTTCCGCGCATGATTCATTCTGAGATCGTGGAGCGCCAGGCGTGCAAAGCACCTGCCGAGGAAGAACTGCCGTTCCAGCTCCAGCGGCATGTGGGGGTCGCGCTGCAGGCTACGCAAAGCCCCTAGACAGGATCGATACATGGACCCATGCAGCGCACGAAAGGAGAAGGAAGCGAACGGGACCGAGGAGAGGAAGTCCGCGGCCAGCGCAGCGTTGCCGCCGTAGTCCGTGGAGTCCGAGTCCGAGTCGAACTTCCAGAGTCCCACTCTCCGGTCCATGAGCCGGTGAAGCAGGCGCGCAGCCGGCCAAGCCAGGGAGACCAAGTCTGCGAGGTTGGTTTGCAGATCCGCAGCCAAGAGGATGGCAATGAGAGAGCGACAAAACAGCGCCTGGTGCGTCCGCCAGAGCTCCAAGGCCAGGCCGGGCCGCACCTTCAGTGCTGCAAGCATCTGGTTGGGCTCGTTGGGCTCGTTGGGCTCGTTGGGCTCGTTGGGCTCAAGTCCGTTCAGCTCGGCCAGGGCCATCTGCCAGGAAGACGCGTGTCCCGGTGCCTTCCGTAGGGCCCAGGCGACGCTCTGCAGGATGTGCTCGTTGCAAAGGCCGTGGCGCCGGCTTTGCCGCAGCAGCGCCAGGCTGTGCCGCCACAGGCGGCGCCGGGCCACCGCCGCCACCGCCGCCCCGAAGGAAGCGCTGCTGGCGCCGGCGCCGCTGGCGCCGCCGGCGCTCCCGGAGCTCTCGACGAGGCGCTGCAGCAGCCAGTGGGCGGCCGCCCAGCGAGCCGCGCGGCCGCAGGCGCTGATGGCGGCGTTCCAAAGGGCCGCGTTGGGCTGCAGCCGCCACCGCCGCAGCTCCAGCAACGTCAAAGCCCGCTGCCATTGCTGCGCCCTGCCACACACGTTCACCACAGAACCGCAAAGCACCAGGTTGGGGCTGACTCGCACATTCCACCCGTAGTCCAGGAAATGCAAGGCCAGCTGCCAGTTGGAATCATGCTCACAAGCAGACACGGCTGATGCAAATGTTACAACATCTGGGAGCACCTCATGGTCGTCCATGCTTTGCAGCAATGGCTCGAAGTGCCTGCTAGGCTCAGCACAAGCAATGACTGAGTTGAAGGTGATGATATCTGGCTGCAGCCGCTTGTGAATCACTTGCTCGAGAAGCTGCACGGCAACTCGCCACTGTTGGCTGCGCTTGCAGGCGTCGATGGCAGCATTATGTACGATGACCTGTGCCCTTGTCAAAGACTTCTGTGACTTCTGTGAGCTGCGCGACTCGGACGACTCGGACGACTCGGACGACTCGGACGACCCGGACGACTCGGACGACTCGGACGACTCGGACTCGAGTCGCTGGATCGACACCCACTGCGCCAGCGCCCGCAGCACCTGGAGACCCTCACGCCAGCCTCGCGCCGCCGCCCGCGTGAAGTCCTTCGGCGACCGGGCACCGATCGCCATCTTTCGCCATAGCGCTAAACTTCTAACTTCACCTGCCCGAACCTATGCGGCTACATAAAAAGCTCACGCGGATACTGGTGACTCGGGGCACCGGCTTGGCTGTGAGCGCCGAGTTCTCTGCACAGGCCTCCGGAAATCGCTGTTCTCGCTTCCTGCGCGCCTGTCTGCACCTCGTCCATTGCAGTCCTCCAAGTTGCCAGCCTTGGGCCGGGCCAAAGAAAAGGCAGGTGAAGGGTCGTTAAGCTGCCCACAGGTCGGTCAGCGGATCCGCTGGCAATCGGGGCACGCTCCATGCGCCTTCGATCGTCTCGACTCCGAAGGGTCACACGTCATGTCATGCTTGCCTGGGACCGGCTCAAGGGTGAAGCTCAGCTTTTGGCCCGCGGCATCCGAAATGGAAACCTGGCGGATTACGCAAACGCCCATGGCATTTGAGACCCGTGCGTTTCCTCTCGCGCACTCCCGCCTTGAGCCGAAGCCGTTGACCCGCCACCACGGGTACCGGACCCAGGGGCAGAAGCGGCTGGTGCCAATGCGTCGCATAGCCGCCCAGCGCCTTGGGCCTCACGTGACGTCATGGGAACAAGCGGATACTTTGAAACACCCTCCCCACCTGTTGGACAAGGTCTCGTGCTCATCCAGCTGCACTTCCCACCACCAAAGAATGCTGTTGATCACCTGAACGCGATGGCCCAAGCTTCTTAGCGCCTAGGCCCCTAGAATTAAGTTCTGGGCTCCGTCACGCAACACGACCAGCTCCACCTGGCTCACAGCCAGAGCTTGGATTGGTCTCTGCTTCAAAAGGCCTCGTTGGCGCAGGGGTAGAGGGACTCCCCCCGCAGCCTCCCCAGGTTTCCCATTGCCCCAGGTTTCCCCCAGGTTTCCCCACTCTGCCACGTTACTCTTTGTGAAAGCTTGGGCTCCGGCGCTTTGCTAATATGCACAGCTAGGAAAGGGTGCTCTCCGGTGAGTAGGTCCCAGACCTCCCAAAATCCCAGTCTCAATAGTAGCAACAAATTCCACTCGTCAACTCCAGTGATTCAGAAGCGAAGCCTACAAGCACCAACTCCGATGATCCGATGCAAGTCTTATGCGATCTGTCAATCTTCATGCCAGTCTCATGGTCCCATTCGAGTGTCAAGCTTTGCCTCCCCACGCCGCAAGCGGTTCAGGTTGCGGGACCTTACGTGCAAAGATGTGCAAAGATGTGCAAAGCAATGTCACATGGCTCGCCGCTCTTGTGCGCTTCCAGTGCCAAGCCGCGTGAATGGTCCGGTGTGCAGGGAGGGCACTCCCTCTCCGCCGCGAAGGCAGACATCGCTGACCTCACCAGAGAAAGGGCCACCCTGGCGGGAGCAGAAGTAGAGGGACTCCAGCGCTGAGAAGCCGAAGCCGTGACAGGAGGGCAATGTGACCCAGCCCAGGCCCCCGATCAGTCGAATGCTGCAGGGGATGACCTGTGCCGCCGGCAACGCCAGGTGCTTGCACGCGTGCTCCAGGACGCTGAGCAACGACTCCCCCACCCCAGAAGCATCCATCAGCTCGCTCACAATCACATCGTGGCGCCGGTCCCTCAAGCTCCGGGCGTCCCCCGTGATCAGCTGGAAGGGCGGCTTAGGCGAAAACGACTCGTGGCAAGCGTCCTCGAAGGTCTCGCGGGTGATGTCTGAGATCGGCGCTGACAGCTCCACCGCGGTGACGCCTGCGCCCGAGCGCTGGGCCAGCAGCGACAGCAGCCCGGCGCCGCAGCCACAGTCCAAGAGCAACGGGACCGACGGGTCCGACGGGTCCGACGGGCTCGAGCTGCGATGCGACCTCGCCTTTGCCCTGGCCACAGCGCGAGAGATGGCCAGGTCATAGCGCCTGTTGCGCTCGTGGTCATTCAGCATCTTAAAGTGCCAGGGTGGCAACTTGGTCTTGCCCAGTGGAGGCACCATCGTATTGGGCTCATTGGACTCGTCTGACCACTGAAACCAAAGCTTGATGTCCGACAGGCATGCTCGAATGTGTGCAGCTGGAGCACTGGCACTGGCACGTCGCACGGGCAAGGGCTGAATGCAGCACATCCAGGAGTCCGCTAGATTGGAGACAGGTGGGCCATCCGGCCACTCTATCCAATAAGCGACTCCTGTCAGGGGCATGTTCGGTTCCGGCACGAAGGACACATGGGCCTCTTCCATGTCACTTTGCCCTGACACATTCAGCTCGAAGATTTGCTGGTGGCGGGACCGGAGCTGCGGTTGGATGTGGCAAGCGCCTCGTGGCCATCTGTGCGAAACCTGCAAGTCGAAACCCCTCATTCGATCAAACCGGCTCAGTCTGCACCCCCGAATCCGCGGTAATGATTCATCGACCAAGGCGGCCCAAACGCGCAAAGAAGGCGGCACCACAGCTGGCATCAGGCTAGATCTTTGGCACTTCTGCAAGTGGGACCTCAGCCGCCTGAGGTGACCAAACTCGAAGAGGCCATCTTCCTCCAAGCCTTCCAACACCAAGATGTCGCAGACCTCAGCCTCTTCGGCAAGTTCCACCAAGCCCAGGCCATTGCTGTCCAAAACCACTCGCAAGCATTCCCGAAGCATGCGCCTCGGCTCCACGATGATGGCGCGGCAGCCCAAGCGGGCAACGAGGGCGGCACTGACAAAACCCCCAAAAATGGCCACCGCCGGCTCTCGACCTCGCTCTCGCGCTGCTCGCACTGCGGCGTCAAGCGCAGGCAACATCGCTGCGCCCAGCGCGCACGGATTCCTCGTCCAGTCTTGGCGGCCAACACGTTTCGCAAACTCCACGGGAGCAAACAACTCGGAGAGCTGCGTGCCAAATCGGAGAAGGGAGGACGCGGTAGTTTCACTGCAGCCGGATAAAGATGCAAGAACTGAAGCTGCGTCACCATTGCGTTGCAGTTCCCAAACATCCCCACATGTAACTGACGCAAAGCAGGGGCGTAACAAGTCCGCCCTCAACAAGTTTTTGTCCCGTGCTTTTGCCAATTCGAATTTGGCAATCTCAAATAACTCGATGGCATTCTGCTTCAAACAGCTTTCTAATTCGCATAAGCTTGTCAATCCACCAATGGCACACCAAGTTTGCACTTCAACCTCATCTGCAGTGTTCAAGCGTCGCAGCGACGCCAAAATCCGCAAGAAACCCTGGGTTGCATCAGTCCCGGAAAGTCTGGTCAATGCAGTGGTGTCTTGAAGCCACTGAATAGCTTGCTCCTTTCTCTGGAAGCCGGGCGCATCACGGCGTCCTCTTCCTTGTCGACTTTCGTTCGCTCTTGTGCGAAAGACCGGCCAAGCATAAATACGACTTCTGCAAACAGCATGGGCGTTGGTGCCTTCTACCGGCATACACACATGCCTCCTTGGTTGCGCATGCGGATCAGCCACCAAAGTAGTGGCTGCCAAATCTATGTTGTAGCATGTTCTTTGCCGCTTGAGTTGCTAAACAAGACAGCTTCTTCACAAACTGGAAGTTGCTGGAAGTTGTTCATGTTTGTGTGAACGACGTCTGCATTCAAACTCTGTGCCTTGAGATGCCAAGACCGAAAAGAGCGACTTCCGTTGTCACTCAAAGAACGTGACATTCCATGAAGGCAAGCCCGCCAGCCGACCTTCATGCGGGTATTGCTTACCAGCACGTGACTGTCATTCACAGAGCGAACATCCGATCCAGCACCGCACGAATCGCACGCAGCGCACACCCAACATAATAGAACTAAGTTACTTGGCATTGCAAAGGCTGCATACCCCAGACTCTTTGCACCCCATATCCATGTATGAAAGCGCGACGTCAAGTCAAAATGGGGAACATGAGTTTGTTGCAAGGGGAAGCGCAAATGCAGCTTGAGTGCCCCGCGCCGGGAAACGATGCGCCGGCATCACAGCTTGCTCCCTTTTCCTGTCTTCTTCGAAGGCTAAAGTGATCTAAAGTGGATTGCTCTTGGAGCATCCAATTCCGTTGACGCAGGGCTTGGCCCCGGGACACAGGGCCAAGCCCCACAGCCACTCAAAACGTCTCAAAACTCGACTCAGCTCGCTCTCGGCTCGAGCGCCTTCCGCGCGCTCAGCGCTCAGCGCTCGGCGCCGTCCGTGGCGTCCGTGGCGTCCGTGGAGGCTGAAGCTTTGGAGGCCGCGGAAGGCCGCTGCCTCGAACTTCGCGGAACCGAAACCCTTCCGATTCGACTTCCCCAAAGAGTCTGGTCGGAGGCTTCTGCACAATGCTGAACCAAGTTGCACAACAGAAAATGAAGAACAAATCGCGGGACACATCAGCTGTTGAGTTTCGTCGCGCAAACTCGAGTCCCTAAATCAACAATATAGCAACGTCAAAAACACAACCATTTGGCCCTAAACCCCAACATGACAAGTGCAAGTCTGAGTTCCCAACTCTCCGCACTTTGTGGGCGGCATGCGCGTCTCTGCACCTACCTTGCAAGCATTCCAATTCTGGGGAGGACTTCAAAAAGACCATCCGGTGACTGCAGATTTTATTGGAAAAGCCTTCTACTTTGTGTGCACTGCCGAGCCAGTTCAGGCTTCTAAGCGAGCTTAGATTTCTGAAGGACGTTTTTGCCAGTGGGTTAACAGGCCCATGGAAGCGCCATGCCTGCTCTCTAGGTCGTGGTGCCGGGCTTGCATTCCTGCAACGAATGCACGCATTGGGCCTCTAAGCCTTCAAGGGCTCGCAAGCGGTCCGAGGCGTAGCGCAGGTACTTGCATCTGGCTCGAACAAGTTCAGAAGGCTTTCGGCATCAACATCGCCACCTAAAGACACTGGCACACTCGGCTCCAGGACCTCCAAGACCTCCAAGACCCTGGCCGGTCTGGTAGATCAAGTTTTCCCAAGGCCGGCAAGAAGGGAGTTCCTAAGTCTGACCAAGAACCGAGTCCAAGAACCAAGACTATCATGTGACTGTCCGACAAGCGTCGTTCACCAAACCAGGATCGAAAAGATTGCGCCTTCGCGCTTCTGCATAGATTTCCTCAAAATGCCGAAACGAAATGCAAGGCCCTCACTGAAACAACTTAACTTAGACAGGGTGCTCTCAAGAATAGCATGAACTCCTGGCCTCAAGCAGGCTCGAGGCAATCAGAAAAGCCGAGGCCGAGGCCCGCTCCATGGTTCATGTAGCGGAGGTGGGCCAGCTCGTGTAGCAGAATCGCCAGTTGGGCGCCTTTGCTGATGAAGTCCTAAGCGAGGAGCAAAAACCAGACAAAAAATAAGAAAAGGAAAAAAACGGAAAGCAGCGAAAGAAGCGCTTTGCTCGCCTCACGCTTCAGTGTGCCCTCGCCTGCTGGGGGTTGCCTTTGGCGGGATGCTTCCGTACCCGCAGCCGAACTGTGGTGAGATAGCCTCGGAGCTACCGAACCGTCTCTACACGTTTCTTGTTACTTGCCTTTGCAATGTTTCTTGCCCTCCGCTGAACTTCCCGGATTCCCCCTCTGCAGGGAAGCCACGATCCTCACCGTTCACATGCTTCGGAGTTCTTCGTGCCACGCCCGCTTTCCGCTCTTGGCAATGCTGCCTTGTGCGCGTCAGCGCGTACACTGCCGGAAAACTTAAAGTGAATTGCCGAGATGCTCCAGGAGGAAGTCATACCTGGCATTTGAGAAAGCTCCAACCCTTGGAAGGAATATATTTTCTCTTGCCTCTGCCGTGGAATAGGCCCATACACATTGAGAATTCAGAATGTGAATTTGTTAACCGCATGAACGGTTTGTGGTATGGCACTGTTTGTCAGAAATGCAACATGGTGGGTCAAAGCAAGGTCAAGCACTGCACGGATGTGACATGAGAATCCAATCGCTGAATCACACCCCTCGTGAGAAAGCTCCATCCTGATGTGGAAGTGCTTGCACAGCTCGGCGGCAATCGAGGAGTGCAGGTCTTCAAGGATTTCAGAGACCCCACAGCAATTCCTGAGTACAATGAGTCAAATGCAACAAAAGTCCGCTTCAATTAAAATCGAAAAGTGGAAGTCAAGACTCTCCAGCAGCACCTCCTCGCCTGCACGGAAGTGCGAGCTGGGAACAAGGCAGTCTGCAAACTCGAAAAGGGAAGCGGCCTTCCTCACTGAACATACATCCATAGGTGAGTGTCATTGGCAAAGACGTTGGCAGAGACTTCAAAGTGGGCGAATCATCCTTAACTTCTGCCTGGAAAAGCGGGGCCGACTGCTCCGCCAAGCGGTCAATTTGCCGTGCCACTTAAGTCATCTTAAGTCACTTGCTTGCATTTCCAGCTTGTGCCGAACCGCAACTTGCAGCTAGCCTGGACTTTGGCCTTTGCTTTGGGTTTCGGCTTCGCCTTGGCCTTGCTCGCCTCACGAGACACGAAACGAAACCGCACGAAGATAAGCAATGGCCTGCCGAGGCGTTGCAGGCGCTGCACGCGTCGCAGGTGTAGCACTGCGCGCCCTGCGAGAAAGCCAAATCACTATTAGATGAAAAAGATTGAACCAACGGAACAGGAAGTCGGAAGCGTCAGAAGTTTCTTTGACGCGTTCACCGTTGACACTCGGGGCTTTGCCCGCTCCTTGGTGTCCTGAGCGTCCTCGTCACGTCCGGCTTCGCATCGGACTTCGCGTCCGTCGCATCCGCCTTTGTGTCGGGCTTTGCATCCAGCTTCGCATCCAGCTTCGCGCCCGGCTTCGCGTCCGGCTTGTCCGGCTTGGACTTTGGCTTCAGCTTCCGGACGCTCGCCCGCTCAGCCTTGCCTGTCTCCTTTGGCTCGTCCTTCCTCGTTCCCAAACGAACGGCGTGAAGCGAGCTACTTGAGAGGACTGCCAACAGATACTGCTTGCAAGCCCAAGCTACCCTTGCGCACTGCACGTGTTTGCAGGTGAAGTTGAACGCAAATTGGAAACAGGACTTGTCTTACGGCTTGATACATGCCGGTGCCAAAACACCAGAAATGCACAGCCATCAAGGTTCGGTGTCGGCGCATCTATTCGGGTCAGTTCTCTGGCCAGCGATACAAAGCGCGATTCGACAAGCGTAAAACGCCTGTTGAACAGCAAATGCAAGCAATGAACCATGTACCTCAACCTGTGCCTGTATCGATGTGCCATTGAGACAAAGTCAGAATTGGTTGGTTCTCAGCTTTGCCGTTCGAAGGGTCGGGAGGATCTTGGCTTGGTAGCTGCAGCTGCTGCTTGGAGAGGCTGAAGCAGTTGAGTCGAGGAGCTGCTCCTCGGAAGTTCCCCGATGCCGTCCATCCGCGTCATAAACAGCTCCCCGCCTCCTGCTCGTCCCTAAGCTTGCGCAGTACCTGCACTTGAAATGAGACGAACTGAGTCCGTGCTGAAAGGCTTGGAGGCTTGGGAGCAAAGCCTCAGCCGAGGTGGAACGATGGTGGGAACACCTATTCAATACATGTGCCCAATGCCAGCAACAAGGCTGATCTTGCTGAAAGACTCGAGACTCAGGATGATCCCAGCGACTGAGCAGTGCGCAACTGAAATCGCATTACTGCTCCTAAGGTCCTATGGCCTCTTCCGAACCAGAATGATTTACGCACCTAGCAGGTCACTCCCGCACCTCCGGTGCAACAGCCGAAAATTACACTTCTGTCCTGGAGTCAGATTGATAGGTGGGGGAGCTGTGTGTGTGTGTGAGTGAGTGAGTGCGTGCGTGCGTGCGTGCGTGGGTGTGCGTGGGTGTGCGTGGGTGTGCGTTGGTGTGCGTGGGTGTGCGTGGGTGTGCGTGTGGGTGTGCGTGTGGGTGTGCGTGAGGGTGTGCGTGTGCGTGTGCAAGTGCGTGTGCAAGTGCGTGCGCGTGTGCGTGCGCGTGCGCGTGTGCGTGCGCGTGCGCGTGCGCGTGCGCGTGCGCGTGCGGGTGCGGGCGCGGGTGCGGGTGTGTGTGTGTGTGTGTGACTGCGTGTGTGACTGCGTGTGTGACTGCGTGTGTGACTGCGTGTGTGACTGCGTGTGTGTGTGTGTGTGTGTGTGTGTGTGTGTGTGTGTGTGTGTGTGTGTGTGTGTGTGTGTGTGTGTGTGTGTGTGTGTGTGTGTGTGTGTGTGTGTGTGTGTGTGTGTGTGTGTGTGTGTGTGTGTGTGTGTGTGTGTGTGTGTGTGTGTGTGTGTGTGTGTGTGTGTGTGTGTGTGTGTGTGTGTGTGTGAGTGTGTGTGGGTGTGTGTGTGTGTGTGTGTGTGTGTGTGTGTGTGTGTGTGTGTGTGTGTGTGTGTGTGTGTGTGTGTGTGTGTTGTGTGTGTGTGTGTTGTGTGTGTGTGTGGTGTGTGTGGTGTGGTGTGTGTGTGTGTGTGTGTGTGTGTGTGTGTGTGTGTGTGTGTGTGTGTGTGTGTGTGTGTGTGTGTGTGTGTGTGTGTGTGTGTGTGTGTGTGTGTGTGTGTGTGTGTGTGTGTGTGTGTGTGTGTGTGTGTGTGTTTGTGGTCTGTGTGGTGTTTATGGTGTGTGGGATGTGTGGGGTGTGTGTGTGTGTGATGTGTTGTGTGTGTGGTGTGGTGTGGTGTGTTTGTGTGTGTGTGTGTGTGTTGTGTGTGTGTGTGTGGGGTGTGTGTGTGTGTGTGTGTGTGTGTGTGTGTGTGTGTTGTGTTGTGTGTGTGTGAGTTGTGGTGTGTGTGTGTGTGGAGTGTGTGTTGTGTGTGTGTGTGTGGGTGTGTGTGTGATGTGTGGTGTGTGTTGGTGTGTGTGGTGTGTGTGTGTGTGTGGTGTGTGTGTGTGGGTTGGTGATGTGGTGTGTGTGTGTGAGTGTGAGCGTGAG